GACTAGAGAGAAGGCAGCTAGTCATCACCACCCACCGCCAACTCTTGGGCTACCTTTTATCAACGAATATGGGATTGACCGTCACATTATAACGCCCCCACGGCTGAAAGGGTGAGCATGTTTAGTGGGATTCGAACCCGCGACTCGTAGAGTACGATTCGAGCGCTCCCTAACCACCTCACCGTGCCGGGCCCTTTTTTGCGAAAAGTGCGATCTTTAATTTCGAGGTCGTGGCAAAAAAAATGTTTGCTTGAAGTTAAGCACAGAGGGCTATCTGTGCGCTGCCCATCACGGGTATCGAAACCCGGTTTCTAGCGTTGTAAGTCCGCAGACATATCGCTGCGCCACTAGGGGGCCTTGTAAAAATCTGTTATGTAGAACTAACTATGAACTGTTTTATGACATAGAAATGTTTCTTTGTTTGGCTTTCACATTACTTCGTCTTTTCGTTTTGAAATTCAAATTTACAAAATACACACTGGTGGTTTATAGCCTCCGTGTCGATAAGTGTGCGTGGATTTGAACAATAAATAAACAGACAAGTTTGTATAATAAATAATATCCTGAATAATTATTTGTGCGGATAAAACGTTGTTATAAAGTTAAAGAAATAAAATAATCCACTCAAAAATCACTATCTCTCATATAATACGTCCCAAATACGCTGAAACTTGTCTTACTACACAGGGAAGGGGGGTGTGGCTGTAATTTCAAACAACATTTTGAGTCAGGTTTGTTATTTAAAAGGGCAACCGGGTTTCGATACCCGTGGTGGGCAGAACACAGATATATATAGCTCTTTGTGTAGCTGTGTGCTTAATAACAAACAACAACTGAATAACCTATAATTTATGTTTTTTTATTCAACATGTATACCACCTTATTCGGGTGTGTTAATGTTTTTATATAATGTGATTTTAAAGTAGTTCTTGTTCTGGCTGTTCGATGTTCAACTAGAGACTTATATAGCCCCTCCCCCACCCGGGTTTTCCCGGTTGTACGTAATGAAATTTATATTAACTAACAAACTATCTAGTCAGCGCGAAAAATCTTCTACCCAAGAGAGTAATGTTTTCATCTTTTTTTTTTTTAATACATATATTATTTCTACGCTCACTGTACAAAACATGGCGGTCGAAATGTAGCCTAAACCTCGAAGCACGTCATGAAACTGGCCTCACGTGGATTGCAAGACTGAAAGATCATGCGAGCACGTGCCCCTTGGGATCATGTACGTCAACATATAGCTTAAAGCAGTTTCTAGGATGTGGAACTTTCTGAAGAATCGTATAAACCCAGAAAGAGTGATTTCTTCATTTAAAAAATATAGAAATTTATTTGGAAAAATGGGATTAATTAAATCCAAGAAACTTAAAGTTAAAAGATAACTACTTTTGACATACATAAGACAATAGCACAAACATAAAAAATACAAGTTCTCTAGCTTACCGTTGTATCAGTCCTTGACCCCCGTTACAAGTTCTCTAGCTTACCGTTGTATCAGTCCTCGACCCCCGTTACAAGTTCTCTAGCTTACCGTTGTATCAGTCCTCGACTCCCGTTACAAGTTCTCTAGCTTACCGTTGTATCAGTTTTCAACCCCCGTTACAAGTTCTCTAGCTTATCGTTGTATCAATCCTCAACCCCCGTTACAAGCTCTCTAACTTGGCGTTGATCAGTCGTCGACCCAAGTTTCAAATTCTTTAGTTTACTGTTGTATCAGTCCTCGACCCCAGTTACAAGTTCTTTAGTTTACTGTTGTATCAGTCCTCGACCTAGTTACGAGTTCTTTAGTTTACTGTTGTATCAGTCCTCGACCTAGTTACGAGTTCTTTAGTTTACTGTTGTATCAGTCCTCGACCCCTGTAAATATGGTTCCTTTTTTTTTAACAACAACCATAACTTTTTAATTCTAGATGGACTCCATAACCCTATCGACTTTATAAGCACATTTTTCTGTACCAAACTACTTATGGGCCATACGTGTCGCACGAGAACTTTCAAACAAAAAATACCACGAATACTAACTGTTGTGTATCACAAAGAAAACGACGATTTCACCCCCTTTATCACCCTCGGTTCTTTACCCTGATTGTTCTAACTGGCAAAAACATAAGGTTTTTATTTAGAAGGGTCATGAAAATAATAGGTTTATTTGAGGGTTAAAACATCATTATCGATATAGATGTCGCTCGTATCATTTAATATCTACACAAATGTTGCCCGTGTCATCCATTATCTATACAGATAACTAGCGGGCGTCATTTAGTTGAGATAAGAAAGTATGTGGTTAATGGGTTGTTTTATTATTTCTACGATTGCTGAGCTGACGAAGTACAATTTATGTGATCTCTTATTTCTCACCGTTGACGACGACGAGATTTTAAATAAACGAAACCCGGGTCAGTTAGGTTTCCACGACACTGGCTACAGTTAGGCTTATTTATTTTACGCAGATTACGTTACCGTATCACTAACAAGCCTAACAACGTTGATGGAGTAAATTGATTTTTGAGGCGAAGATAGCATCAAATCAAGTAACTGAGAAGGAACAACAACAACGATATTTGAAAATTAATGTCACTTGATTGCTTCTCGTGTTTTATTTAAGTTCTATAAAGATCCATATTTTATTATCATGCAATTATGATCACCTGTATTATTATTATTATCATTACCAGGCTTGCCTAAGAGCAGTTAAGCCTATCTTTTCAGATCTGGTAATTAAATTTTACATTTTCCTTGTGCTAATAGAAACAGTGGGAAATTCAATTAACGAAGACTATAAAATGTGTCTGGGCTCGCTCCTAATGTTCAACATAAATATTTTAAATACTCACCCTCCACCCCCCGAAGGACTACCCACTATTCGCAGTAAAACGAGATTAGCAGAAAAAAAAACAAAAAAACAACGATTTAATTCGGGCCTTATTTTGGGATTTAACCTTTAATTAACCTTCACCTGGTCTGTTAGAAAAATTAATCTCGTAATAAACGTTAGGAGGAGACTGGTGTCCAGCATTGCCATAGCATGGAGTTTTTTTGCTCATGAAATGTTGAATAGGATTTCTTTGTTAGGTTTTATTTTAATTCGCGCAAAGCTAGTGAAAGGTTATCTGCGCTAACCGTCCCTAATTTGTAGACTAGAAGGCATTTCAACACCACGCACCGCCAACTCTTGAAGTGACTGTCATATTATAAAGCTCCCACAACTGAAGAGGCAAGCATGTTCAGGGACGGGTTTCGAACCCGCATTCTTCAGACTACGAGTCGAGGGCTAATCGAAAAGTCCTAGGTGAGTTTCAAGAAGAAAAAAACATCATATCTTGTATTCGTCCACTCCTCAATCCGACCGGTTAGGGTTAATTAATACGTCGGTTTTCCAAATTGAGGCATCAAATGGTGAAAATTAACAAGACGGTTGATGTTAGGCAATTTACACTGGAAAAAAAAAAGTGTTATTGATAAAAATAAGAGTGTGAATTTCAAAAGTTGTATCGTAATGTCATCCAATAATTTGGTATCCAGAAGCTTGAAAATATTGGCAGACGACAATCTAAGCCTATTAGAATAGCATTTACTAATACTAAAACTGTAAATATCTTTTAATTATAATTTCTTCTATTGTTGGGAAGCTTGAAAACATTGGAAGACAACCGTCTAAGCCTATTAATTCATAGCATTTGCTAACGTTAAAACGAAATCTGTTTTAATTATAATTTTCTCTGTTGTTAGGCTATTTCGTTGGAAAACCTTGAAACTAAATATTTAATTAGGCCTAAAATGGTTCACTAATCATTAGAAAATATACGATTCCTAATATTACAGTTTCATGCAACCAGGTAGAGAAGAATTGAAAGATGAACTGAAGCACCATTAATATTATTCAGAAAGGCTAAACATATCACCAGCTCTATTTTGTACAGTGTAAACCGAAACGTTTCTTACAATAACGCCCTTAATACGTCTCTATTCAAACACAAGGATGGAAATAGAAATTTATTGTCTGCTTTCGACAGTTAAAACAAGCGTGTGTGTTATTAATAATGCAGAAAGTAACACCAAAAAGGCTAATTAGGCCTTTGAATAATAGACTAAAAACTAACGAGCAGTCGCGAATGATCGCTCCCTCTATGAGATAATCAGCTATTAATTACAAAACACTGTAGCGTCTTTTTAACTCTTTAAATTCAGTGCGATATTAGTCTACTTCTCACATCCCTCCCCCTCGGTGGGTCAGCGGTAAGTTTACGGACTTACAATGCTAAAATCCGTGGTCGGTTCCCCGCGGTAGACAAAGCAGAAGGTCCCATTGTGACTTTGCGTTAAAATGAGCAAATAATAATCTATTTCCGACGGTTCCAAGCATAAAAGTGGTATATATAATAACAAGAAAATATGATAATGTAGTTTTAGAAAAACAATGACAATAATGTTAACTAAGAAATAAGAGAGAGGCTTCATGAACTAAATTTTGTTTCCTTGGAAACTCTTTGTGTTTTCTTACAGATATTAATATTCCAGTTGTTTCAAGGCCAAAATGAAGCCAAAAGACAGAAACGCTACAGTTGTTTTCTAGACCGAACTGGCAACAAAGGCCAAAGAAAATACTCTGAAACCAACACAAAAGCTCAACTTGCTTCAAGATCTAACTGAAAACAGAGACCAAAGAAAACACTCTCAAACCAATAAAAAAAAAGCCCCACTTGCTTCAATATCTAACTGAAAACAGAAACTAAATAAGATATTCTCAAAGAGAATTTAAATTTGAATACATTTGTTTCAGATATCCACGTAAAGCTACACAAATGCTACCCAAGCTATCTCTCGCTAACTTATAAACGAAATTGAAGCCAATAGCACCCAATATTAACTGTTTGGCTACTGTAATCCACTAGATTTGATTGTCGCCCTTAAGACGTACCCACGGCTCCATGGTGTCGTTACAGAAGGTTAATAATGTTACGTAATTGATTATCACTCTTATAACGCACCATGGAAAGATTGGCAGTGACGGCTGGTAGTTATTAATCACCTGGTTAATTCATTTAATGCGGTAAGCTGATATGTTTCTTTAAACAAATTTAGTGTTAGTATCTGGTATGATAGGGCTACCTTTATAGAGAGGGAATTAGCAATTTTATCATTCAGATGCAAGACGTTGAGGTCTTATGAAGTCGCTGGCCTCTTAACGGTCGAGCGAGTCCCAGTGGTGATCATGGATCTGAGGATCTTCCCTACGTATCTCGTTACCACAGTAAATAAAGTGATCTTTGTTACGTGTTTCGTACCTTACAAGATATGGATGCATTGGTCGACTAGCTGTCTTTACCATTTCAAATTTCAGTACGACACTAGAGCCTTCGTGTAGATCCAACAGAAACAAACAAGCACGTTCTTCTTTTATAAAAGAAAAGACTTTAGTAGCTTTGTATTTAAACGGTATCAGCCAATCACGTTGTTTCTTTGTTATATCAGAGGGGCAGTAAAAATCTCGATCGGGAGACGTTTCCTTAAGGGGTTTATAAATCCTTAAACATTACTAAAGGCCTGTCAATAATGAATAACTTTGTTACTCAGCTCAGATACCGTGAAAATATATGTTATGTTATACACGATAACCAGTCTTTATAAGGATCTCGCGCGTGTAATGCGTCAAACACTGCATGGTGACGACACACACAAGCCTCGAGCGTAAAAGGCTCTTGAAGGCTTCACTTTGTAAAATCTAATAAAACTTGCTAATATCGTCGATCCGGGTTTACCTACGATTCTCTCGACTTACCTTATTGATGCGAATACGATCTTAACGCTCCGTCGAACTCGGGTGCCAGTGAAATATTTATAAAGGCTGGAGAGTAGTGTTCGTTCAATGCAGCTTTCAGTTGAGAATTTTCGGTTGTTTATTACTGTACTCGTGGTGTTATATATGGCGCTCATAATCTAAGCGTCGTTCAGACAATAAAATCTGGAGCATATCCTACCGATGCACGATAAGTCACAAGTGCATAGCAGGGATAAGTAGATAGGCGACAGCTTGAAAAACGATATTCTAAAAACGCATTTCTGGTAGTTGTGTAGATTAATCTTCCTAGTGGTTAACGCGGTGAATTGCACTTCATGTGGTCCAAGGTTCACGCCGTGATGCCGCTCTACAGTTTCCGCTGTTATTGTCTTTTAAGAGTGGCAATAGCAGTCAATATCTTTTAAAGACCTAGTGGCGGCTGGTGTTTGTTAACTGGTTGCCTTGATCCTGATCAGTAGTCCAAAATAAGGAATGTGTATACAATACAGAATGGACTATTTGTGCCGTGCCTACCACGGGTATCGAAACACAATTTTAGCGTTATCAGCCCCCAGAGTTGACGCTTAGCCACTAGGGGAAGAAGGGGGACATTTCTTTATTGGGTAAAGCAGATAAACCTATAATAAAACCTTCACGACAAGAATTCAAACCGTAACATCAAACTTTATAGATAGTTAGTGCTATGCCTTTCTGCGCGTAATAAGAATATTGCTTCGGGCAATTAAACAGTCACGTTGCTTTGATCCTATAATATTTCTCATTGACTTATATTTAATAGTCTCCAAACACGGGAAGTGTATCGTAATCCACGCAGGAACAAGGAGGTAATTAATTGTTCTGTCAACCAAATAGTTCCTTATTGCATATTTTAAAAGACAAGGCCATAAAGTTGATTTCTATCGTTAGGCCTCATTAAGTTTCAAATGTGTTATTCACACTCCATGAGGAATGTGAAAAATATAATTAGTATGAATTAGTTACTACCTTTGTTACTGTCAAGTTTACTTACAAAATTACCTTTAGTCCTATTTCAAATATCCTGGAAATTATTTATTAAGTTAATACGTCTTTTATTTTAAGGTTAGTCTTAGTATTGGGCAGATGAGCTTTAAAACATTCAACTTCGCTTTTGTGTGTGTTTTATGAATTATTATTACTCTTGATTAAGACAACGCTGGAACTTTAGAAATCTGCTATACGAATTTGTTCCAGAAAAAAAGTAAAAGAGCTAAGTTATAGTATGATAACTTCAGATAATTTCACGTGTCATTTCTAAGCCTAATTTCTAAGAATATGAATAAATATTTGCATATCTAGTATAACATTGCTATCCCGAATCACTAGCGATTATACGTGTCGAAATCAGTGGTAACAAATGTGCGAACACTTTTATAAGAACCGGTTTCAACTCCATTATATTCACATTATTCCGTAACGCTAGGTTGCACATACACAAAGTGTTGATAAAACATTTCATACAAGTTTAGATAGAGCGGTATTCTATTTGTTGGATTTCAAGCATGACAGTCGGGCCATTGCAGGCAGCAGTTTGATATATATACACACGTAGTGAAAAGGGAGTAGACTCCAC